ACCTTTTGGTGGGATGGTAGCTGCTGGTGGCCTGAAGCTGTGAGACCTCTCACTTGTGCTCAACTGTCTAGGTAGCTCCATGCCTCTCTGCCATGCACCATGACTATCTGTGGGGCCTTTATACCTCTTTCTATGGACAGCATTCCCAAAGCTGTCATTCCTTACACCTGCTCCCTTGCAGGACAGGGCATCACTGTCCTTGGCTAGTCTCACAGCCCTATTGAGGGGACACTTGCATATGTATTCTGTCATTAACACTGAAAATGGGAACATGAAGAACTTCCTATTTGGAAGCTACATTACAAACTAAAAAGGAAGCAGCCTTGCAAGTCCTTTCCAAGTGGCTGTGATGTAACCTGCCTTAGAAGCCTAATTACATCAAGGGGGCAGTGGAGGGAGGCAGCTATAGATGGCAGAAGGAGAAAGGGACTGAACAAAAGCTGTAGGTCAAAGTGAGCAGGAAAGGCTGTCATGGTTGTTTAATATTGCATCAGCCCCTGCTAGGGGATCCAGCTGAGATGGGGGCTTGCTGTGCTAAACACTGTACAAATCAGCCTACAATAAGTGGTAGCCTCACCCCAAAAAGAGCTTTGGGGTGAGGCTACCACTTATTGTGGACTGATTTGTACAGTGTTTAGCACAGCAAGCCCCCATCTCAGCTGGATCCCCTAGCAGGGGCTGATGCAATATTAAACAACCATGACAGCCTTTCCTGCTCACTTTGACCTACAGCTTTTGTTCAGTCCCTTTCTCCTTCTGCCATCTATAGCTGCCTCCCTCCACTGCCCCCTTGATGTAATTAGGCTTCTAAGGCAGGTTACATCACAGCCACTTGGAAAGGACTTGCAAGGCTGCTTCCTTTTTAGTTTGTAATGTAGCTTCCAAATAGGAAGTTCTTCATGTTCCCATTTTCAGTGTTAATGACAGAATACATATGCAAGTGTCCCCTCAATAGGGCTGTGAGACTAGCCAAGGACAGTGATGCCCTGTCCTGCAAGGGAGCAGGTGTAAGGAATGACAGCTTTGGGAATGCTGTCCATAGAAAGAGGTATAAAGGCCCCACAGATAGTCATGGTGCATGGCAGAGAGGCATGGAGCTACCTAGACAGTTGAGCACAAGTGAGAGGTCTCACAGCTTCAGGCCACCAGCAGCTACCATCCCACCAAAAGGTCTAATTAACAACAGATCTGCCATTGATCACCACTGATAGGATTTACCTTATTAGTTTATCCTCTGATGTCTGGATGATGTAAGGCTCTCCAGGAACCCAGCACAGGTGTGTTACCTGTGAAAGGGGAAGAATAATTAGAAACCTGCCCATGCATAAAGCCCAAACTAATTCCTGCCCACAAATGTACTGTGATAGCGCCCTGCCCTAGTCCAGTTCTGAGTGATCTTGTCTAGAGCAAAGAGGACTGGACAAAGGTTTCTCTGGACCCAACAGTGCAGCTCCTTTGCCTGGGACAGGGGTGC